AGACACGCCCCCCTCACAGCGCGTGACCTCTGGACGGGTGTCCGCAGGCGGCAAGGCGCAGCCCCGCGAAGAAGGGGCTTTTCCTGCGCAGTCTGGGAAGGGGCAGCGGGGGGGGGCAACGCCCAGCCCAGCCCGCCGGGGGGCCGAGGGCCACGCAGAAGGGCTGCGGCGGCACCTGGCACGCACTTCCGTTCCCACGAGCTTGCGTTCGCTTGACGTGCGTAACTCCAAGGCGGGAAGCTTGGGTTAGTCAGCCAGAGGCTGATGAATCACGCAGCCTGCGATGCCGCCGGGGTTCCCGGTCACGCCACTCGCGTCTCGCTCCAGGAAAGCCCGGCCTGTCCTTGGGTGCCAGGAATCAGCTCTCCGAGCAAAATCCCGCGATCCCGGAGAGAGGAACGGATGGATGAAGGAGGGCGCGCGGGAGGGACTCCCAGCTTGATTCTCACCCCTCCCCGCGGAAAGGCTGCTAAAGGGGACCCACGGAAGTGTTTGAATGTGCCATTAATATGAAGGGCTACGCGTCTGGTCTAGGGTCCCTGACAAGAACTTTAATTACGTGATTTGGCATGAAGAGTACATTGGCAGAAGGTCCCGCACAGGAACAGAGCAGGAAGCCATGAGGTTATAGAACGTAAGCGTTCCTAGGCTCTTTGAGATCACCTAGTCCACCCCTGCCTGGTGCAGGGGCCCCCACTTCAGCATCCCTGACAGATGGCCCCCTAGCCTCTGTTCAAACCCTCCAGTGAAGGAGAGTCCACCACCCTTCAAGACTATCCTTGCCATAGTTGAACAGCTCTTACAGTTCTCAAAGTTTTCCCGTTGTTCAACTTAATCTACATTCTTACCATGGAAAACCCTTGTTTCTTGTTCTGTCTGTGGAGCAGCTCTAAACGATTCTGCCTGCCAATTCTGCCATGACAGCCATTCGGATGCTTGAAGAGAGCCACCTCACAGGTCTCCCCACTGTCTTCTCTTCCCGAGGCTAAGCACACCTCCCATGTTTGCGATGCTGCAGGGCTCCAGAGTTTCTCCTTCCAGGGCCCTGGTCACCCTCGCTGCCAACGTCCTTCCTCAAATTCAGGGCTTAGAACTGAGTGCAACATTCTAGGTGTGATCTGACCCACACAGAAGGCAGGGAATCAGGACTTCTTTTGAGCCTGACCCCGCACTTCTCTTGGTACAGCCTAGGTATCTTGCTGAGCGGCATCACGCTGTTGGCTGGGATTCAGCTTGTAATCCACAGGATACCCTTGTGCGATGCTACTCAGAAGAGCCTCTCCCGTCCTACTCAGGCCGTTGATTTTTCCTGTCCGGTGTTGGACTTTGCCTTCATCTCTTTTGAAATGCTTCTCGCTGTTTGTTTACCTAATACCCAGCTTTCCAGTCAGTGTTCATGCACCAATGCGCTGCTTAGCCCGTGATGTGTTCAGAAAGCATGGTGTCTGATTAGTCTGTGAGAACTTGTGAATGAATTTCAATGCAGCTGTTTCTGAGTGAAATTGGTCCTTGAAATTCCTTTGGTCAAAACGCTTCCCTTGATTTGCTCTAGATAGGAGGCATTCCCTTTTACTGGAAGAATTTTTAATTAGGGCATGCAAATCAGGCAGATCTGATCAAATCACCAATTTAATTCGGGTTTTGAAGTCAGGCGTTGAGCTGAGCTGATTTAGAAAATCAATTTGAGTTTTAAAACTTCTTTCTGTGCATGAACAAAAGGCCATCAAACCATCAGATCAGATATAAATATATTTGGGTTGGAAGTTTTCATCCCAATTTAGAAATTTGATCCAGTCTGGAGACTCTTTCCAGATCTCATTTAAGTTGAAGCTCCTAACCAAAGTTTGGACATCTGACCTTGTTTTTTGTATTCTTATTTTCTAAGTTATTCTTCCCCTGCCTTTAAAACACACACACCCCCATGTGTGGCATGAACCTCCAAAACAAACTCCCGTGGGGGGTACAGATGGGAGGTTTTTCTTCCCAAAGGGTTCCTGCTCCCGTTTCTAGTCCCTAGAATGGAATGGAAGGAAAGAGGACTGTTACACACACACCCTCTCGACCCAAAGGGCGCCACTCGGAGACAGGGCATCAGCTTTCGGGGTGACGTTTGGCAGAGGTTCAGGGCTTCCTAGCCATTGAGTATCAGTTAAAATATAACCATGTGACAAAGAAAAAAACAAAACGAAAAACCCCAGCCCACATTCCAAAGGGATCACGCCTGTGTCAAGAGACCCCCCCCGAAGCCCCCAGGACTCTGGATGGGAGTTCTATAGGGGGCTGCTCCATCCCGCCCCCCAGCCCGTACAGCTGAGGAAAGGCTTGAGTTTGCAAAATCCTCTCTCTTCCCAGTCGAGGGCGGGTGCAGCACCTTCCCCAAGGATTCCGACCGATGTGGGGAGCCTAAACCCCGGTTCTTCTACAACTCAACCTCCAAGAGATGCGAGCCGTTCATTTACCGAGGGTGTCCCTGGAACCACAACAGGTACTACACCGTGGAGGAATGCCAGCGCCACTGCGGACAGATCGGTGAGCAAGGCTGTTTGGCAAGGGGTGGCAAGGGGCTGATGCCGTGCGGGAAAGGCCTCCTCGTCCTCTGGCGCTGCCCTGGGCCACAGCGGCAGGTTCGGGGGCGGCAGGGGTCTTCGGGAGAGCTTCACGCCTCTCCTCCTCCAGCTTCTTCTGAGGGGGCGGCTCCTCCATGATGACCTCTGCCCTCGACTGGTTCTCGTTTGGTGCAGCTGATCTCAGAGACCAGTACTGGGGGGTGGGGGAGGCTCGCCCCTTTCCTGTGCCTCCTCTGCTCCCCCCAGACTGTGATGGGACTTCCAACACTCTCTGTGGGGCTGCGTAACGGTGCTTCCCAGGGCCCATGGGTTGATTCTGTCTTGCAGAAAAGCCAGGCTTCTGCCCCCCCAGCCCCACTGGCATCACGGTCGAGTGCCTGGCAGACTGCCTGCATGATGGCAACTGTCTGGGGACGGAGAAGTGCTGTTCCCACGGCTGTGCCCTGCGCTGCCTGAAGCCCATCACAGGTGAGACCCAGAGCCAGCCACCCTTCTGGATGGGGAAACGGGATCCGGGCCTGGCGTGAACTCTTCCGCTGCCGCGGGTGTCTGGCAGGCCATGGATACCTCTGGGCCCGGGATGCAGCCCGAGTGCTCCCGTGGCCCTCTGGTGCACGGGGAATGCAAATGGCAGAGCTCCCTACACATCTGGAGACACCAGGCCCAGGGGAGGGCCCTGGGGCCCCCCAGGTGTTTTTGGGACTGGAAGCCCAGTCGGGCCAGTGGGAGATCAGCACTAAACCTCCAGAGGGTTCGTGTCACCTCACCATCCGGCCACCTCTAAGGATTCAAGCTGCTTTACAAGCAGGCAGAAGACACCACCAGCGAATCAGCAGCCGAGGCAGCCCAGATCCTCCGCCTGCACTAACCGCTCATTGGAGTAATATCGTTTCGAAAGCCATACAAAAGGCGGGGGGGAGGGGGCAGGTGCCGGGGACAATGTGCTCCCTAAGGGGGGCTGCAACTGAGAAGGCCCCGCCCTTTCCCCCTCCCATAGAGGCAGCCCCACCCAGGCTGGGCTAAATGGGCTGTGGTCCTGTACAGACTGGCAGTCCAGCCATGGAGGGCTTTATGGGTATTCACCAGTCCTGGCCTGAACCCAGGACCCTTCTGGCAGCCAGCACAGACTCACGCGCTCTGTCCAAACAACAGAATGGACTGAAAGGCAGGGTGCAAATGATAAAGACAGGCAGTGCTTGGCCGGGGGGGGGGGGTACAGACAAGAGTCCATAATGAGTATGCAAAATTACACCCTCCTGCGTTTGCACAGGTCTAATCCTAACCCTTAGAAAAACAGGAGGAGGGAACTAACCTGGAAGGGGCAGTGGGTGTATCCCCAGTTCTGCTCCATCAGTGCTGTGCACAGCAGGAGTTCCTGCTTGGACCGCAACTTCCATGGGGGGCGTGCAGAAAAGGCCGAGGGGGAGAGGATTGGTGCCCTTGGGAAAGAGGCCTGGGGAGGGAGGGACGGCCAGGGGCCCTGGGTTGGGGGAGGGGGGACCGCTCTGGCTCCCGCCTTCAGAGACCCTCCGTCCTTCCAGACCTCTGCCAGCTGCCTCCCGAACGTGGCCCCTGCGATTCCAAAATCCAGAGCTGGTTTTACGACTCGAAGACCCGAAGGTGCAAGAGGTTCACCTTCGGGGGATGCCTAGGGAACAAGAACAACTTCAAGAGACGTGGCGCGTGCCAGCGGAGCTGCCTCAAGAGAGGTCGGTGTGCAGTGCTCCCGGGGGG